AACTATTTTAGAGAGATTCTGAAACAGGTACGGTATTCTTAGTGGGAGAATAGACCCTGGTAAAAACATCACAGTATTTTTTTTATATTGTTTTTTATGACATGTAACAGAATTTAAAAATATTTAATCAGTTCAAATTAAAGTTAATATAGTTATTATGACTGTAACACATTTCAAATTTAGAACAATATGGTGTCTAACGAGTAGTAACTAGAATAATATTTTTTTAATTTAATTCATCCACGTGTCCTATCTATTCTTTATGAATCGGTACACACATCTATAAATATCTATTCCCAGAAAGCTTAAACGAGACAAGGTTCCTAGCTCAAACGTCGATGTAGTTCATCTCTTTGAAAGATATTTTCGGGAATATAATAATATTTGAATGAACTTATACCGAAATGTCACTGCTGTCACGTAACAAAAAGTAAATTTGTCTATCCATCTACGTGATGATCGGTTGTCGTTATTCGCTTACTATAAGCGAAATGTATGTACAAAAGGTACTTATTACACATGAAAATCTATCTCGTGCCCCATTTCGTCCATACCCGTTGAGTTATTTTAGCGTGATTTAGTAACAGACATCTATTCATTTTATGTGTACATTATACTATATCATTCATTTACATAAGTTTTCGCGTTTATAATATTAATCAGGTTTTGATATTACACAGAATTGAATATCTTCAGTTATTTTAAGGGTACATTTTCTTTTGAGCTTGTCTAGTTGGGTAACCCATCAGTCAAAATAGAAAACAGTAACCCAAAACAGAACGATAGAAAATTGTCTTAGTAGGTACATTATGTAACTAAGAGTTTTAATTCAAGTAAATAAAGAAAAAGGGGGATTGCCCCGTAGCATGGATATTCACACCCAACTTGATATTGGTTGAGTGGTAGGGATCTCATTCAACCAATTTGAGTGGGTAAAAGCTGAAGTGGCAAGGCTCGTCCCGACGAATATTCCAGAACCAAAACGTACCGCGTACCTAACTTGAAACCGAAAGTATAGAGAAAACAGAGAGAAAGAAACAGAGAAAACAAAAAAATATTAAATGTACAGAAGTCGCTTTCGAGTACAACTCGAGGAAAGTGAAAGTTTGTCATTTTTATTACCTTTTTCAATCTGTTGGATATAATCTTTGTATACTTACAACGAAAATTTATTGTAGAAATGCTTAGACAAAGGCAAATAGACATATTCATGCATTTTGAGATCCTTTTTACAGACAAGACTTTTTCCAAAGTCCAAGAGTCTTTCCAAAGACTTCAAAAAGCAATTAAATATTTTTTGTGTACGAGTATATAACGCGATACCTTCACGACTTGTAAACCGAGTATAATCGTTACTTTGAAGTTGTATAATCTGAAGTTTAAAGAAAATATTCTCCACATTCAAATGTGGAAAATTTTAGAATAAGTACAATTTATAGGATTTATCGTGATATAGGCACAAGTCCATGATACTTTTTTTGAAAGTGAATTATCATTACTAATCTACACAGAGCAAGGATTTCTGAAACTCAAACAAATTTATAATAGGAAAAATGAGCATACGTACTTCATGGGCGTTTAAAAAATGCAATTCAATTTCTTTCAAACTGGTTATTGAAATGTCCAAAGAAGGTTTTTGTGAGTATAAGCATTTTATTATTCATATATATGTAGAGTGCAGTAACATAATTTACCACAAAATGCAACTAAATTGGAAATGTTGCTGAACTTGACAAAGAAGACTCGGCGATAACCAGATTACATGAGCCGAGGGTGAAGTCGTATCTCAGGCTTGAACCGACTAAAACCATACAGTGTGCCATAACAAGTGAGTCTATTACAAGGGACACAGAATACCCTAAAAAGGAAGCGCGCTCTGAGAACTCCTGCAGATTTAGGCATATAAAATCAAAAAAAGTATTGCTTATATTTTCAGTCCAGTATATAAAATATAAGCAACGGGCCTGGTAGATGTACTACTGCATAGTTAATGTTTTAATCTCAGCGCGGCATGTTTGTACAAAGTTTCGGATTCCACTTACAGCTCATTGCGTTGTTTTGGTGAATTTATGGTCTTGACAAACAGATCTATGGCTCAATTTAAGTATTTATGGAATTCACGATATTCCAAAATAATCTTTAAAATTGGACTTGTAGTGTTTGTAGTGAATAAAAGCACACTCTCTTTTTAACATGCAAGTAGGTACGCATACCTAGCAAGTGATTTATATATATATGTTAGGAATATTATACATTACTACGCGAATGAAATTATTGAGTAAAAAAAGTAAAAATAATAAATTACGCAGTAGCTCACTTCCATATTTTTATATTTTGAGACGTGGTAAATGAAAGCTGTTTAATATCAAGGCTTTTTGTTTTGCATACCTACTTAAGTTAAAGTGTATAATATTTATATATATATATATATATATATATATATATATATATATATATATATATACATTATATTACATGGTATGGATTTTGAAACACTTCAGTATGGGGTTACGACGTTGTTTGCAGTTTAAATAATGAGTTTACCCATAGTTTTAAAGGATGTTTCGTTAATGATTATGAAGGTAGACATGTATATAATGATAGGGTTGAACCGAACAAAAGGTTCAACCGAACTATTCGCAATAACTTATGGCCGGAAAATACTCTGAGTTAAATGTTAAAATAGACTAATATAATAGAAGCAACTATGACAAAATTTATACTAAGGGATGCAGATATTTTCCTTTGGTGACGGGATGAAAACTTCGGATCTCCAAGGATGCGCATTCGCGGCGATGCAGGAGCGTATATAGCGTTTCCGATAAAAACTACCAAGACGGCCGGCCTTAGAAGTCCTATTCTGAGGAGATACCGGATGTGATTTTGAGCCCCCCCCCCCCCCCCCCCCGAATTGACTCTGCGCCTAAGGGATACAGATTTAGATCTAATCTTGACTAATATTATAAAAGCTTCTTTTTTCTAATCTTACTCACCAATTAAATGATCGTCATGAAATTTGGAATACAAATTGTCAATGTATGCTATTTTCATCCAGAGAAAGTACTGTTCATATGGGATAGAAAAATACCTCTAATATGAGATAAACTGTGGTAAAAAGCTGGTTGAATACGAAACAGTATTTATTTCAGTTAAAAATTCTATCATATTTATCAGCTTTTGTCACGAATGCTTAATTTTATCTTCTAAGTATCTTATTACATAACAAAATTGTGAATGAAACACTAACTATTACTTAGAAACACATACAAATACATAAACAAATATGTACATAATAATTTATGTGTTCCCACGACTTGCTTACCTAAACGACGAAGTTCTCTCGAACAAAGCGGTGCTGCGTGAGAGATAAACAGCCTCCGTTTATTCTCTATCATTTTTTTTATAAAGATGGAAATATCATTTGTGTTCCTTGGATTCCTTTTTTATGATAACAGTGAAATGAAATAAAAACGTGCATTGTGTCGGTGTAGCTTTGTCTTCATAAAATACCGACTCAAACTTTTTAAGAAAAAGAGTTGTGCGAAAATAAAATACTTCAGAATTATTTAATGATTTAATTTCAAAACTTATACAAGGTGGACATCGTACCGAATACTGAAATAGTGTATTCAGACCATGATTCTAAGTCAAAAATCATTGATTTTTTTTTATTTTTTTATTTTCCCTTTTTTTTGGTTAAAAATGATAAAAAACGTTATCACAATGCGTAAACAGAATATTTTACCTAAAACAATTTAATAAATACAAAAACTGCAATGTAATTAATCAAACAGCCGAAGCGCGCAGAGCCTCCCCTCCGGCCGCCATTTTGTGTTAGTGTGCGTAGACTGTTTGCACGGAATTCACATGTAGTTATTACTTTTGTGCGATATCTACGGGGAATGACAGAAAATTCCGATAATTTTCGACTCAGAATGATGGTCTGAATACTATTTCAGTATTCGTTACGACGTCCCTTACACCGTGTATAATACAACACTTAAACGGACCTTTCATTTTATCATTTTTCGTCTTGCATTTTAAAGTCTAACATCATTCTGACTCAGATTGGCAATACGAAAGCTTGTAATTTATTTTTGAGACCTTTCCACATTTCATCATGTAGTCTACAAATCAAGTAATCGTTAGATGTGTTGAGGAGTAGATGAGTTTATAGGTTAAAGAAAGAGTCATATTTATATATTATAAACTGGAAAAATATAGTACAAACAAGTAAAAGACGGATAGGTAATATATACGTCAGTCGCGCATTTTTTATGGCAAGAACAAAGATCATAAAATTGATAACAAAACAGTGTCTTATCTAATTGGAATGCTAGCTTTAACATGTAGTGAGCTCGCTCTAGGCCGACGCAAAAAAGGTAAAAGTCTTTTCTGAAATGACCCTCTCACGAATTTATGAACAATGGGTACACATTGTACTAAGCATTCTTGCATCTAACATTTGTCGGTTGGTACTAAATTCGCCTCATTTATTTGACCCGCATTCTAAGAATGTCCTTTCTTGGTCCAATTCAACATCCTTCAATTTTCCTTCTTAAGAACAGCGAGGAGAATAAAACATAAAGTTATTTACAGCTGTTGGTCATTAATAGCTTGTATATGGCTCAGAAAAAATAAATGATTATGTGTACAAATTATAGGCATATAATATAGACCCTAGCGGACTAGACAAAGGTTGCGCTACTTGAACGTAAGATTATCTTCTTGGTTTCATAGTCAATTTCAATACAAAAAAATAATATCCTAAAAAAATAACAACATTGTAAATCTTAGTTCTCGTGGGGTCCTTTAACTTTAACACGAATTACAAAATTATCAAAATCAATTCAGTAGTAAAAGCATATTAAGATTTCCTTTAAATTAAAGGGAAAGACAGCCGACTTCAATGTTCCTAATTAGTTATTCTTAAGTACTCTTGATTGCGATAACTCCCTAAAACCATAGTGTGTTATAATAAAAACTCATGTTTGTTGCAGTGATGAGCGGCGCTGGAACAGAGTTACTTGTATTGGGCTATGAAATAGCACCAGGATTGCTGTAAGTTTTTTTCTTCTCAAATAAATCATTATTAGTTTAAAATTGGAACAAGGATACTGGCCTCATTAATCAGTTAAGCTTCTAACGACTTTTTTTAAGTAAGGTCCGTAGGCCTGACGGGCCTGTTGGTCTAGTGGTTAGTGACCCTGACTTGGTTGTGGGTTCGATTCCCAACCAGGACATATATTGTGTGATGAGCACGGTCGTTTGTTCTGTGTCTGGATGTAATTTATTATTATTAATTTATGTTTGTTTATCAGCAGTCTGGTTACTATAGCACAGGCTCTGCCTTGTTAGGGATCAGACTGCCGTGTGTGAGATGTGTGAGGTATTATTATCTCAATACTCGAAAAATATTAAAGGAACTTTTTCGTTATCGCATTTTATCTTTAATCGTGATTTATTTCATTGGTCAATATAACTCTGATTATGATTGTTTAGACTTACGTACCATGAATCCATAACAGAGAAGCATACTTTATGCTCAATGAGTGTAGTTAAATACCAGCTGTATTGAACTACAAACCGGGGCAAACCAGGGCTCAATTTAACCAACCCACCCCGGGCGGCAATTTCAAGAGGCGCCAAAATCAAAATGTAGTATGATTAAAAATAAAAAAACTTGCTCCACAAAGCGCCTAGCATACGGAAGCCTGGTTGGCTCACCGTCGACTTGTAAGAAAAAGGCGCCACAAATTCCCACATTACAAGTGAACTTATAATATATTTGTAAGTTTTTTTTAAGTAATTTATCTCAAACGCTAAAGCGCTAAACCAGGGCAGAAACTTGATAGTAGCGCCCCTCGCCACTATCAAGTGTCTGCCCCGGTTCGAAAAAATCGTAAATCCGGTGCTGAAATCACTACGCCTTCCTTGCACCGTCATTACTGTATATACATATACATTTAATTTATATAGTAAATACAGTTATGAGAAATACAGTCTATGGATGGGTGACCATTCTTAACACATTGAGACCCCTTTGTGCCTCGAAGAACACGCGGCCACACGAACATATGTGGCAATCGTTACGGGTAGATGTAGCCCTCAAAGTTCGACAATAGTTTTCCTACATAACTTCGATATCGCTTGTACTTGGGTTGTGGAGGTCTAATGGTAGTCATTCCGCGTAAAAAATCTAGGTTCAGCCGTATGGTAGAACACACACACTTAAAGCCGACCCCAACTTAGTTTGGTACAAAGGCTCGGAGGAAAAATACAGTAATGAGAAAATTGTTACTCTTTATTATGGACAACAATATGGACTACAAACATTAATTTATATTTATTAAAGACTAGCACCTCTTAAAAAAAGGAATAAACTTGCCCCGTTTTTACAACATTTTTTATTGATGCTCTACTCTTATACGAGTATATGTAACTTAACGCAATAAATGGGCTATCCACACACTAAGAGAATTAGAGTAGTTCTTGAGATAGCACGTGCAACCAAAAAAACAAACTCTTTAGTTTTATAATACAGCATAGATATGCGATTTAACTCACTTGTGTATTTGAGGGCTGCCTAGCTAGCTTCGGACGCGACGCGGCCCCTTTTTTAAGTAGTTAAACGTTTTGTCAATATTTATTACAGAGGTTCACGAAATAGAGGAGAGATTCATTCCTTTTATTTTAAAACAACTGGTACCCTCGACGTTCGCGTGGAATTTAAAAAACACTGCCTTTAGTAGTACAGTACGGTACGACTGCAGGGTTTTTCTAAGAGGAAAAAAGCTTAAGTTACTCCTCATAGAGACAGCTACCTGGTTGGCTCAGTCGGTAGGTGCAAGGTCTGGTGGTCACATCTGCAACCAGCTTTGGTCAATCGGTCGTCCCCACTGCTCCTTCACGACAACGCGCGACCCCATACTGCGCAACAGACAGTCTCCAAGCTGCAAGAGCTGGGGTTGGAAGCTCTCCCTCATCCGCCATACTCACCAGACCTTGCTCCTACCGACTATTAATTTTTCCAAAATTTAGACAAGTTTTTAGTGGGTAAAAAATTCAATTCCCGAGAGGCAGTACAAAATGCCTTTGAAGAGTTTGTTGCCTCCCGTCCAGCTGATTTTTACAAGAAGGGCATCAATAAACTGCCAATGCGTTGGCAAAGATGCGTCGATTGCATGGGTGATTACTTCGAATAACAGAAATAAAAAAGTTTGAAAAAATAAGTACTTTCACTTATTGCATACAAAACGGCAATTTCATAGGTAAAGACCTAATATTATCAAAATCGGTCCAGCTCGCCTGCCCTTTTTTCCATAAAAAAATATTTTGACTTTTCAATTTTATTTATTTATATTGATAAAAGTATGACAAATAAAGAGTATTGTAAAAGAAATGTAGGTATCTATTACCGATAATAATCATTGCATACCTTTTTTTTTTTTTTTTTTCCGTGCGGAAATCCCCTCGGATACCACCTGTCGGTGGCATGTCGGACACGAACCGACTAAAACCGCACGCCTTCGCCGGGTACTAATTGCCGGGGAACCAGGTATACCCTAGAAAGGAAGGCCCTGGTGCCCCGACATACCTTTTTTTTTTTTTTTTTTTTTTTTTTTTTTTTTTTTTTCCGTGCGGAAATCCCCTCGGATACCACCTGTCGGTGGCATGTCGGACTCGAACCGACTAAAACCGCACGCCTTCGCCGGGTACTAATAGCCGGGGAACCAGGTATACCCTAGAAAGGAAGGCCCTGGTGCCCCGACATACCTCGGGTCATCTACAGACGAGTAGACGACCCCCGCCCCGTGTGGGAACCCCATGTTCCCTGTGCTCCCTGGAAGCGAGCGCGCTTCGCAACGCGCTCGCCGCCACCCCGGCCTGCTTCTGCTAGGGTGACAGATGGCCTCACCTGTCACCCCCAGGCCTGCGCTTATGGAGGACGGAGGTCATTCTGCGACCTCCGGCGCCTGAGTCGCCTGCGCTGCCTGGCCCGTGCCCGGGCCTGGCGGGCCGGGAGAGTTCTAAACCTCTCCCGGTCCCGCTCCGCCGTCCTCCTTTGCGAGCATAACTTGCTCGCAGAAGGAGACGGCAGAGTTCCACGCACTCTCGCTCCGCACGATAGCCGCAATCAGGCTATCGAGCGAGAGAACTCCCACTCCGATGGCCGCCACGAGGTCTCGCCTCTGCTCAACCCACGCCGGGCACTCTGCCAGCGTGTGGAGAGCCGTGTCCACGGTCTGGCCATCGCAGTGGTGGCACTCAGGCGTTGGCTCCTTGCGGATCAGACACAGGTGATCTCCGAAACATCCCTTCCCAGTGATCACCTGCGTCAATCGGTATGAGAGGGTCCCGTGACGCCTCTCGAGCCAATCCTCCATAACGGGTCTTACCGCCGCAATGACGGCGTGCCCAGCGCTCGGTTGCCCGAGTCGTTCCCTCCACTCCCCTATGATGACCTGGCGGAGTTGGGATTTCCGGTCATCGATTTCTCGAATCTCGTGCCCCGACATACCTCGGGTCATCTACAGACGAGTAGACGACCCCCGCCCCGTGTGGGAACCCCATGTTCCCTGTGCTCCCTGGAAGCGAGCGCGCTTCGCAACGCGCTCGCCGCCACCCCGGCCTGCTTCTGCTAGGGTGACAGATGGCCTCACCTGACCCCCAGGCCTGCGCTTATGGAGGACGGAGGTCGTTCTGCGACCTCCGGCGCCTGAGTCGCCTGCGCTGCCTGGCCCGTGCCCGGGCCTGGCGGGCCGGGAGAGTTCTAAACCTCTCCCGGTCCCGCTCCGCCGTCTCCTTCGCGAGCATAACTTGCTCGCAGAAGGAGACGGCAGAGTTCCACGCACTCTCGCTCCGCACGATAGCCGCAATCAGGCTATCGAGCGAGAGAACTCCCACTCCGATGGCCGCCACGAGGTCTCGCCTCTGCTCAACCCACGATGATCAGACACAGGTGATCTCCGAAACATCCCTTCCCAGTGATCACCTGCGTCAATCGGTATGAGAGGGTCCCGTGACGCCTCTCGAGCCAATCCTCCATAACGGGTCTTACCGCCGCAATGACGGCGTGCCCAAATCTTTGCATACCTAAAGTTTTCTTGGTGCTCATTTAGCTGGTACTGACTTGATAGTACAATTACCTCTCCACTGTTTACATACTCTTCTTCTTTTTATTATTATTTATTACTTTCTTCCTAAATATGTATACACGGTACTTAGACCAAAAATCCATTTAGAATGAACATATAATCAAAAGTAAATGTGACATCATAAATCAGAATACCGTGCTGAAAATAATAAAATAATATATCTCACACATCTCACACACGGCCGTCTGATCCCAAACTAGGCAGAGCCTGTGCTATGATAACCAGACTGTTGATAAACATACTTATTTATTTTTAAATATATGCATATTATAGATAAATTACATCCAGGCACAAAACAAATGATCACACCATATTTGGGTGGGAAACGAACCCACGACCTCCGGTTTAGCAGTCAGGGTCATTAACTACTAGACCAACAGGCCGCCAAAATTCAACATTATTTTGTGTTAAATACAAAATTCATTCATCATTTACTATTAATAGCAGAACAAAGACAATAAACGCAGGTAAAACGGGTAACGACCACCAGGTCATTTTACCTAAAATTATAACAACAAACGCGGGTAACACCGCGGGTCTCAGCTAGTGAGTATATAAAAAAGTATATTTAGATTAGACATGTCGGTTTGTGCTATAATATATTGTACAGATAATAACTAACGTAACAGAATTCAGTTCAACATAACAGTGTATTGCATTCATCATAGTTGGCCTTCAGTAAACAGATTTTATGATTCCTTTATGCGAGATGGTTTCGTAGATGGTTATGAAAATAACTATCTACTATCATCATGATCATCATCAACAGCCTTTAATAGTCCACTGCTGGACAAAGGCCTCTCCTTAGAAAGTAGGTTTTGGCCTACTATACCACGCTGGCCAGACGGTTTGGTATAGGGTTTGTGTCAAGTTTTCCTTCTTTTTGCAGTGGTGGTGTCCTACGTTGTTTTGCTATCTACTATGAGATTATTACAATTATGTAAAAAGATTGTCTGATGTTTCTGAAAAGTATTTATTGATGTACTAAACTTCAGAAGGTTTTGGGTTATTATGTTGTTACTTTTGGATAGGTAGTTTATTGAGGTTACCTGAGGCCCAACCACTACTCCCACACTCCTACGCTTAAGGGAGACGGTATGCAAATGGTGGCAACATACGTGTGTCTCTTGAGTTGCAAGTGGCCATGGGCGTCGGTAGTCACTTAACATCAGGTGACAAGTCTGTTCGTCTGCCTCATAGACAACATATAATACATAAATAAAATAATAAATGTATTTTTTTATGCTTTATGTACATTAGTACATGTTGTATCCTCAATAATAATTAATAGGTACGAAGCATTACTTTGTGGTTGTAAAAAATAATTAGTTGAGAGTGACTCATTATTTATTTATTTTCTCCTAAGATTATCGCCAATGCCAATTATCCCTCTCGGTTTTATCCTTCTTCAGTCTCTCTCTTCTTTATAAAAATCAAACTGGCTCTGAAGTCACACGGCCAATTCTCGTAATAAAAATTCGGTCAAAATTCAGTTCTAATCTACTCTCGATTACACAAATATTATTAAAGGTCTCACAAATGATGACATCCAATCAAGACCAAAAAACCCCTGCCTTATGTACGTATGATTACATATCAGCTTCTGAACTCCCTGGCTTGCCCCCTCTGGGTTGCAAAACTAGCGGTAGGAACCGTACATGACTCTACTTTAATAATATAAGTGTTTACAAACTAAAAGACCTATATAGTACAACTGCTAATTCGAATCTCTATTCGATTATAACTCTGAATTCTGATACTAATCCTATAACTTTGTTTAACCAGGGCAGGTGCAGCTTTCGTCCTAATCCTGGAGACGATGTGGGTGGTAGCTCTGTTCGTTGACCTGCTATGCCGTCGTGGAGAATACACAATATCACTCCGATGTTGGGACTACATGCGATGGTCGTGCGGCAGGGCGCGCGCACCTTTCTACGCCTGTGTAGCGACTGCTCTGCTCTTTGCCAATCTTTCTTTGCTGGCAACAATCTCAGGTATGGCTTTAATTTGTGTTTAATGTCGTAATCGTGGTAATATCTGGATCGATTTGGACATAATGTGCAACCCTATATAACCGTAAACGGTGACAGAAGTGGGCGTAAAATATATTATTACTTGTCTACCTTCATCGTGTAGCCTGTAGATGATAGATAGTGTTTTTCAGTTGTGAAAATCTTTATTGTGGTACATAGATATTTCTTAGTTTGTCTTCAATCAATAACATAGATAGATGTGAAGATAGAGGGAATTTAAAGCATTTATTTCCATTTAAGGACGATTTCTTGGCATTTGACTAAATATCACAATAAAATATAGTTATTTTATTTTATCGAAACTTATGTGTAATTATTATCTGTTTAATCGATATTTATCTAAACTAATATGGTACTAAGTTTGTAAATTTGTATGTTCGGGGTAATCTCCGGTACTACTGATCCGATTATGAAAATTATTTCACTGTTAGAAAGGTAGGTACATTGTCCCTGAGTGCTATATTTTACCGCAATAACCGGCATACACACGGGTGGAGCCGCGGGTAACAGCTAGTAGTTTTTTATATTTGTAGATATTTGACTAAGATTTATTTATATTTTTTAGAAAATGTAACAGTAATGTAAAAGGGATTGTTTACAATTATCTACGAAAAAGAAACAAAATGTCTAAGAATTGTCAGGAACTAATAGTAGTTTTACTGAACAAAACAGTAGTAATATCAAGTATCAAAAATCCAATCCTCAGTATGTATCAATTAGGATTCCTCGTTTCGTTTCTAGGTGGAATGCTACTAGTCTTGGCAGCACTTCGAGCAGCGGTACCATTTTCACCGTACGCCACTCATGGCCCCCATTCTCCAAGGGCTGGAAGCTCCCTGCTTAGCCAGCACGACTCTCCATTACCAGACGTGTTCTACAATGCAGGACACACTGAAGATGACCGGTTCGTTTTTATCTATCTATACACATAAATAACATTGAAGTGTCGGTTTGTAATGTCAAAATGTTTTTTTCAGGCTCACGGTTTAAAATTATTTTTTCGGTCTGTCTGTCTAAACGGCTAAACCGATTCAGATAACATTGTACTAGCAGCTAGCTGTCTTTATAAGAAGTATATTAGGCTATTTTTCCTCTCAGAAAAACCCTTTACAATTTTGCCCAGTACTGGAATCGAATCCTTGGTGGATTCGAGTGGCAGCGCGTTTCCAACACCATGCGAACTATGTCGCGAGCACTAAAATTAGTTCAGCTGTAATATCATTAAGACTTATTAACTTTCGTCTTATCTTCCCATATCGCATTTCTCACGTAGTTTTTTTGGGGTGATAAGTAACTACCACCGCCTATGAACACCTGTAACTCAAATAGCGGTAACACACTTATGAATCTTGATCATAAGTGTGTTACCGCTATTTGAGTCCTCCCCCAGAATCAGAAAGAGAAGGAGGGATTTGGGCTGCGTGAACCTCAATAACTTGAAAAGCGAAAGAACTACTTAACACCGATTTTCTATGAAGCCGTGAGACTCTGGTCGAGCCTAGCTCATTTGTATCGAAGCATGGCTCTCCCACGGTAGTAAAATCCACAGAACAGTTAAAAGAGACAATTAAAGAATGGGAGACAAACAGCGACACGCGTTCTAGTACAAATCAGGAACTATTTCCTTTCTAATCTCCTTCAACTCTTCTGTGGTAAAATCCCATCCGTCACTTACCGTATTCCTTAATTTAACTCGCTCGCACTATATGTTTACCTGACCCTAAGGTACATTCTTTCTTTGTTCCAACTAAAAATCATCTAATTCGGCCCTTTAGTAATGTAATGATGCTCAGATTCGTCCTCCAATCATTTATAGATGGGTGTGTCAGGCTGGCGATCGGCCATAAAATAAATGAGCCAAAACTTTTTACAATGTCACATTATATTGCGACGAACTTAAATAAATGCTCAGGAAAATAACAATAACAAAATGAACACTTCACTCATACCAAAAGTTCCGCCTTTCAACTCCAAATATAATATTTTACGTCTTACCGAACCATTAATTCTAAGTATGTATTGCCAGAGTACTTATTAGTTGTGTCATAAATGCCATTTATTTACAGGTCTGAAGAGATGACAGTTCTGGATATTAAAACAACTGAAAGATCTCGCTCCGTCACTCCAAAGCCGCGTCTTCTTGAACTTTGATTTCTAAAACATACTTCACATTGAGCTGGGCTACTACGAGTAGAGGTTAAGACGTCGTGTACAGATAGCAAAATGATAAATGAAAAACTTTAGTGCGTAGTTATATAGTATATGGTATTATAATTTAATAGATTCATACTTATACATGTTTAAGAGCATTGCATTGATGACATAGCAGAGATTCTGCGTAGTTCAGTAACAGACGGCCGTGTGTAAGGTATCTGAATTTATTATTTAGAACATAAACTGCGTAAGGTTGACATCTAATCGAAAAAGACAGTATTAGATATATTCTATATAATACAATGTAAGAACCGTACAGAGGAAAAAGTATTGTACTATTAAACGACTCCATGAAATGTAGGTATAATTTATACAGCGATTTATTCTCTACTAATAGAGGAGACCAGCTGAAATTACTTAGAAGCAGTCTGGCTATTGAAATGGTTACTATTTAATATACTTGATTACACTCAATTATGTGTTGTGTTTACTTTACTGACCAGAGACAGCAAATAGAATGCTAAAGCGTCAAGCAATGATAGAGGTGATGATGTAGATGTAGACAAATCGCATCAAACTTCTTCTAACAGTTATGTATGATGATTATGTAAAGTATTGTATAAGTCTTTTATCTTCTTTATGCGGTACAATTGTCAATAAAAACCTCTTTGCCAATGTAAACATATTGTGATTTATTAAAGTAAGCCACCTTGAAACAAAATATTTATGACATAGTAAAATCATATGATAAATAATCATTTGTATTTTAACACTTATGTTTGTATAATACTTTCAGAATTTTAAATGATTACGCAATTACTTGAAAATTCTAAGTATGTACGTAATTGCGCGAGCATTTTTTTATATTATTACGTAGTTTCTTACGAGTCGGACAATCTCAGCGACTGTAACGATTATAATGTATTTCTTATGTGTAATTGAAAACATGTATTAATATCTAATGTATTAATTTTTAATAGAAAACATAATACCATAAACTATAGATGTAAAGTTTAACATTGTTCATATATCGTATTTAAAAGTACATGAAATACTTGTAATTACATTTAATTAACTTATTACTTTTATAATTTTTATACTTACGAAGAAACTGTGATAGTTTAGATTAGTAGTTATATGCGACAAAGTTCAGTGACATCAATAAATAATATAATTAAATTCTAAGAATAAAACGGTATTTTTTATTACGATACATCTGCTGTCTCCTACAATGATTTATTGTCCTCTTGTTGCTTTTGGCTCAGAACAGCATAATACGAATATGCTGCTTTCATGATCTGAAAAAAAAGCAATACTGCCTGATTACTATTACATGATTCTTGATAGAGAACAGAATAAAACATTGGTATTTGTAGGACCATGAGTAGAACTAAGCTTTTGGCCTTAGGTTAGGGGAAGGTGACAAATTGGCAAATTATTCTTAAACGACAATTGAGCAAACCTATTACGTACATAAGCGTACTAAACCTACAGGGTTACATCAAACGTTCACTCCAAGCATTGGTGTGTTTCTTTTAAAAGGATAGAACGAAATGTCCGATAAGGCCTACAGTTATGTTGGGCGACGCTGCGACCTATCAGATAAAGGACAGTGGGGTAACAGTTACATTGGTTGATGCAGATAAGGCCTGTACTATTTTATACGAGTAAATAGAGAAACCGTTAAAATACTGTAGCAAAGCATAAACAGTAAGCTAATGTTTGCTTTCATTTTTTAATCACTGGGACATTTTATAACAACTTGGATCAAAACGGCATGTAAGAGTACGAGAGTACTAATCCCAAAATGATGGTTCTAGAGTACTGGTTAATAAAAACATGAAGTCAGTCAAACTAAACCAAACTGTGTGACTGTAACCAATGTAATTTGGTTTTAGTAGCTTTGAGTTTAAAGGCGTTAATTCGTGTCTACGAGTTGTACAGGGTCTCAATTCTGCTATTTTATGGTAACGTAAAAGCCACTGTCATTCCATTGTCATTGTGACGCTATTGAGATGCCATTGACATGGGTCAAAATATCGTATTCTATTGGCTCATCACTAGAGATATCAACAACTTTGCATATTTGTAAAATTTAATATATAATTTCCATACAAATTTAAAATGTAACGTTTACAAACTAACAAGGACATCAACGTCATTAGTATCAGTGGCAGTTCAGTGACAAGTCATCGGGGCTATTGGTCTCACATAGTTAATAGAATACGAAAAGTGAAAAACTATTGACAGTCGACATTCCATCGACAGTCTATTGATACAATATTAAAAAAGCAGAACTGAAGGCCAGGTTCTTAGGCGTATACCATAAAACTGTTTGCCTAAGCAACCTTAGCAGGCCTTAGCGACTTTTTTTTAGTATATGGGGCAACCGTATATAACAGACAGGTCATCTGAAGGTAAGTGACTATCACCGCCTTTGACACCTGCAACACAAAGGCCGAGGCCGTGGTATTTACCTGTCGTTCTTATCCTTAAATTAAACTCAGATTAAATAGAATAGTTAAGATGGTATTCTGTGGACAGAGAAGTGAGGCCAATTAAAATTACGCCTTGACGTATACATGCACAATTACACGCACACACGTACAACGAAACTATGCTTTGTCAGTTAAAACGTCATAAAATTTCAACAATATTTACAATACAATACGAATTGTGTTTTGAAAGGGTGTAAAGATCAAACTACAAGAGGTACTTAGTAGGATGGAATCGCATTTCACACATAAGTAAGTGTAGAAACCGATATTTTCAATAAAATAATTATGATGGCCCACGCACACATAATTATAAAACAGGCCTCATTTCGATCTTCGCAAATTTCCATCTTGACTTTTTTATGGGATCTGAGAAATTAAAGTAAACGTTGTTAATTCGTTCTTCTACCGTGGAGGATGTAGATTACATTCTGAAATGTTCTAGTTCTCAATGTTTTCCTTAAAATTGGTAGAGGTTGTAGCAGAATAACTGTGAGGGTATAAATTCGTTCACTGCCTCTGAATTACATCACAGATTATTTTATAAAGAGCTTATCTGGCCTTAATCTGATAAGTATCACTAAAATACACCAGCCTGCGGTATATCATTGAGATATTATTTTAAAAATGTAACAAAGTATATAGATACTGTGGTATAGGTGGATATAGTGACGATGGCTACAAAAGAGAATGAAATAAGCCTGAAAAAGTATGATATACATATATACACTTATGTAAACTCATCATATATATACGTATAACTATTACAGTCCAATATTGTCCGTGTGGTAATGGATTAAGAATACAGACTATCACCACCCCCATTCATCCCGTGATGGACTAAGTAAGCAAACTACGCAGGACAACAGCACTGCAAGGAGAAAGAAAACTTGAAATAAACCCTTTACCAACCCGTCTGGCCAGGTGGTATAGTAGGCCAAAACCTTATTTCTAAGGAGAGACCTACGTCCAGCAGTGGACTGGTACCGGCTGTTGATGATGATAAAACTATTACAGCGGCGTAATTTTCCAGTTATATATATACAATTCCTAGAATACTTTTAAGTTTTTTTTAGCACAAGAGAATACAAATCAAATGTTACTTACAGCGAGAAAACAAGCATTGTCCATGTTCGTGAAACCGGCAGCGGTGAGTCGCAGTGGACGCTGCGCGCGCATCATTATAAGCAGTAATTGGCGACGGTGGCGTACAGGCATACGTTCCCACTTGCACTGCATCACCGCGTCTGATATGCGTTCTGCCTTATTACCAAAAGATCATAAATACTAGCTAATTAGTACATTTTTATCATATTAGATACATAATTTTAGAATACCAGCAAATAAAAAAATACTCTAGACTATAATTTACCTCTGTGACATATTTTTAACAAATAAGAGCAACTTTTCTAGCGTGATTGAGTAATAAATCCAGTCAAACTTTTATATGTAAAATCTACTAACTTACTTAAGATATGACCAAATAAGGTATCAAAACTTTCAATGCGCTACCCGGTCGCATTTTTGGAAAATGCCATAATTTTATTAATTATGTCACAAAACATTGTCCATTCTTTTCACATTTTCAATAGTAGTAAAAAGATGGTGTCTCCTTCATGTGATGTCATATTTTAGATCAGGTTACAAAAGACGATAGCAAGGTTTTTGCAATAGACTTGTTTATTTCTTGTTTATTAGAAATATCTTCTACACGGGGCGGTGAGAGGGAAATAGAATTTCCAAAGCTCCAGTTATAGACACAAGTGACAACTCACCAGCAGACAAAACTACATATGACTTCGAAGTTTAAAAATCAAAATATTTGGTGTATTAATTGTGTAAAATAAATTATTTTCAAAGACACCGAACCAACACACTATTAATTCATTCAACAGGTCAAGATTGAATTCGGTATATGAAAGAGGTGCACAAGTACCATCAACAACCATCATATTTTTTTCCTTCGTTGTAAATCCTTTGTCAATCTCAGCTTGAAGTGGAGTTTAAGGACCTCTCGTCTCAAATATTAAAATCCATCGAGCCTCTCGCGCTCTATAAGAACGTAAGGAGTTTGGTATAAACATACATAAATATTTTATATTGAAGCGCGTGAAAATATATAACTTCCCCCAAAAGTAACGTAATTCTTGAAAACACTGGCTGGTATGAATATCGTATAAGCATATTATTTTTCTTTTAATAATAACACAGAAAAACTTACTTGCAGAGTGAGTTCGTTTCCAGTAAAACATTGAATTGCCAGTTGAATTATCATAGCGACGAAGAATGCCAATGATGTCACAAGTTTTATCGATTTGAAACTTGATGCATCTTGCTGTAAGTAATTACCGAGTAAGATATAAACTCTAAGTACACCGCACGAACGAGGTATTTATTTACAGAGTCAAAACAAGATGCCTGTTATTTTTGGCACGCTTCCAAAGTAAAACCATCAAACTGTCATTTGCAGTCTCACCACTCACGTTTCAAGTAAGTTTCATATTACTTCAGTTCCTATTTATGTGCTTAGAACTTTCTTTTATAAATACTGATGTATATAGAACAAATACATAACGTATTAAAAATGAGGAACTTAATTTTAAAATGAGAAGTATTATAATCATATTTTATGCAAATGTATGGTAATGAAATACAAAGCCGCAGCCATCTATGAATCTTACCGAAACTTGAACCATTACTACGCAAATAGCTGCCATACTGGAGAGCAGTTGAGTCATGAAGCCATAGGAATAAGTTCTCGAAAACTTCTCCACGCAACTGAAATGAAACGTAGACAAATGTAATAAGAGTAGTTGCGTTGTATGAAATGTAGTGTAATATACTCTCAAAAAGGTGAATATAAAGCAAAGATTATGTTGATTTAACCGTGGAAAAAGGCAAACCAACTGACAATATTGGGGCTGTAATCCTAAGATATTGCAGTATGTCATATCCACGAGAACTCGGTCCCCTTATTGCTTTCGTATCGACTGTGAATTGACGTTTTTTTACGCAACTTGATACCTATCGTTTTTCAGACCTGTCGCTATTGACCCCTCAAATATCTCTATTTGTAGTAGAAGGCACGTTTCCAATAACTACGGGGCCTATAGCATTCGCGATGTTCACAGTATGTTGGAATAGGCGTGAATTGTATGAAAACATTTTAATGTTCCGCCGTATTTATTTTATAGCTAAATGTTTATGTTAGCTTGTTCAGAACAGAACGAAGGAAAGTTTGGCTTGAGACCGAACGTCGGCCAACCTTCCAGTTAATTCGCATTGCACTTTATGGCAGTTTATAGGAAATAGCCGGTCCAAGTCGTTTGGATGCCAAAAACTTTGTTGTACTTAACATAGCCATTGGAACCGAGTAATGGATCTATAGAAGTCAAAAGTCTGAGTAACTCTCCTTTGTAAAACATAGGCTCTCTTGCATACCTTACCAAACTAATTGATGAATTACCAGGGAATGTTAAAATTTATTGTTGCATATTCCGTTCATTTTTTTTTCAATGATTCATACGTGAAGAAACAACCAACAAGAACAATCAATTGAATAAAATACGAAACATAGCTGTGAGATGTGCGTTGAGCTGAGTTTATTACATTAAATAATTGATAATATTTTACGATTATTTGTTTTAACACGTTAATCTCTGGCACGTGGAACTGTTCAAAGCGAATTGCAAGCGTGCGAGACTTGAGGCATACTTGTCTGCCTGTAACTCTAAAAATAGTCTCGTAAGTGTATCTAGGCTTCGGAAACAATTATCATCAGGGGGACAGTTTGTCATACGATTTTAATCACGTGTGCAGATGACTGGCAGGAGCTGGATGCGAGAAGCCCAAAATCGATCTAAGTGGCGTGCAATGGGAGAGGCCTATGTTCAGCAGTGGATAGAGCGATAGGCTGATGATGATGATGATTATTGTTTAACATTTTTAGCTTTCTGCACTTCTTCCATAAATAAACATTAAGTATCTATACAAATAAATAAAATTGAAATTGTCTGTTTGTAATGTCAAAACAATATCCGTGCAAAGCTTGTCTGTAAGAGATCGCCGTGAGCGATAAGGCCGCCTATTGTAATACCAAAATGTACATGTCCATCCATGTCTGTACAATATTATATACTGTAGCGGTGTGTAATAAAAATGTATAAATAAATAATAGGTTTTTTTCATGCGTACTTGTTTAAATATTTTTTGTCTGTCTGCCTGTCTCTTTGTTCCGGGTAATCTTCAAAACGGCTGAACCGATTTTAATAATATTTTACTACCAGCTGTCTATATAAGAAGTAACTTAAGCTTTTTTCTTCTCAGAAAAAACCCTATCTGTCGGTCCTGTGCCTATTGCCCGGTCCGGGATTCGAAGTCACTAAGGCAACGCTTTTCAAATTCCACACGGACGAAGTCGCGGCCACCAGCTAGTATCAAATATAATATGCTTCCGCGTGCCGTCCGTTCCAATAAAAATAATGTTTTTCTCGTTTTATTTATAACTACCTTTTGCTCGCTGGTCCACCCGCGTGTATGTCGGTTATCGTATATATATAAATATATAAGTATCCTATGTTACTCGTTGAAAATCTAGGTTTCCATAATTGAAAGCATTTTTTAAATCGGTTTAGGCGTCAAAGCGTTACGCTTAGACAAACAAACTCAGTCTCATCTTTATAACATAGGTATGGATACAACTCACAATGGTTTTTATAGTAATAAAACTACATGGCTGTAACGTACAAATGGGCATTGTAAACTGCGAAGAGATAAAAATAAGGATATTATAAAAACAGTTTTATTGACGTTTGATCCTCAGCAATTCCATATTTTATATCTTACGTGTTTAGTATTTATATTGCATCGAGACGAGGACGGTCGGGTCACATACCGTCCCATGAGTTATCTTGAAATCCTATCAAGGATTGTGTACATAGGTGTATTCTCTTATCAGTCTGTGGAACTTTAATGATATTTTATTGCATTGCGGTGTATAGGTTAAGCTTCTTGGTTATCGAGTTATTAAGAATCCATATTTAAAATTTATTAATGGTGTAGGTATTTATTTAATTTGTGATCAATTTTCTTTTAAAATGGTGGATGTTTCAATTCGGTTATATTTTATTTGTCACCCCAGAACTCTATTATTTATGAATCGATCTGGCAAATGATATCTGTATTTAGTAGGACATATTTCCGTTTGGACCCATATAAATTTAAAAAAAATACCACCTCGGTGATACCTTTTAAAAGTTAACTGTGACCCCTTTAAATTCTTACATTCGCAGATTTGCTAACATCATTTGGTTACATCATTGTCGTGGTATCAGAACGTCCCTTCACTTATTCTCTTGGGTCTTTTAATCGTGTTAGGCTGCAAGAGCATACTGGATCAACTTTTTACTTCGTCTAAGATGATTGGGATTTCCAGGTACTCATAGATTTCTAAGTTGCAAGCAGACAATTTTTTGTATATAAATTTAAAAATGTGTCATGCTTTCACCGATAAACATTAACCAATAAACATGTAGGAATAGTTAGAGGTACAGGAAACAACATAGGGTACTTTATACCTAGAAAGAGATTAATATCTAATTCATTTACGCGAGCGGAGTCGTGGGTAAAATTGAGTTGAACATACATAATACGCCGTATGGTAGATCATTTCAAAAGGTTCTAAATTTAATTTTGGTAGGGCTGGTTGGTAATAAAAACATGAAAAAGTTGTTTGAATATAAAACATCCAATCTCAGGAATTACTAATCACAATAATATTTTTTTTGCAGTAGATTTTGTGGGCAAAGTACATTTTTAAACCAACATTTTAAACTTCTTTGCCTTTGTATTGTAGTAGTAGATTTAAATTCAGAGAGAGCCAGAGATTTATATCAAGTGGAACGCCTGTTATTTCAAATAATGATTCCATTCATTTAATCGAGTTCTTTGTGTTAATGACATTTAAATGAACCAATGCATTGAGCATTTTTGAATAAGTTGTGGCGACTCCCACATACAAAGAAACAGAAACATACTACAGCGCCATCTAAGGAAGAAACCCCGAAGTACGGAGTAACTTCTGAATGAAAATTGCTAATCCTGTATCGCGATATGAAGAATTTTCTCGCCGATTAGCATATAATAATATATATATATATATATATACAACTTCCCAACATCAAGTAATCAGATATGTACATGATATAATAGAAATATAATAAATACATATATAAACATGGTTAAGTATTATCCGAGCTGTTTAATTCATAATAATTGTAATTTTTTTCGATAAATTTCAGCTTCTCTCTTCGTCTTTAGTCAATCACTCTGCATTATTACAGGCATCGAGATTATTTATCAAATTTATTTACTTGAATGCTAAACAAAGATGTAATAAGCTAAAGTTACGGTAGTTTAAGATGTATTCAAACTCACTTGATCAGAAGTTGGTGTTGGCGAAAGCAATTTGTTAAAGTTTTTTGCAATTCATTCTCAATTTCTGCCTTCGTGAGAAACGATTCTACGATTCGTTCATTATTTTCTTCTGGACTTATGGTAACCGATCCTTCAGCTTGAAGTTCTTCAGTATCATGTGATATTCCTTCACGGAGTTTTAACATGGTGCGATCGTAAGCCGTTGTGATAGCCTCATGTAATATTACAAACTGTGAACTCATATGTAAAATGAGAGATGCAATAAACGTATCTATTGTCATAACTATATGGCCAGTCCACAACAAACCTATCGTTTCTAAAACGAAGGTAGGTATATAGGACTTATCGTTTTGATAATTCCACGGTATATAAATCGGCTGTGGGAGAGTGCGAACTGGACGACTTGAAGTATCGTTCAAATTGGCCACTATTGCTCTCCACCGAAGGTCTTGAATCGTCCCGTACACATTTCCATTACCGATCGTCATCCAACCGAAAAATAAAAATGCTCCAGTAAGCATTTTCGACAATCTAACAGTGGCTCTATTCTTTTTGTCGTTCTGGTAATAGTCGTAAATGTCGATCTCTAAAGTTCGCACAATGTCTTGTATATCCTTATTTTTAAAGAAAAAAATATACAGCTTTATAAGAGTTAGATTGTGAGTGATGACAAAAGATAGACTGAACATGAATCGATCCAAATCCTTTTCACCAACAAAAGGATCAATCGTTTCCAAGCCGACAAATCCTGCTACCCATACAATCTCAGTTACTATTGAATAGTAAAAATACCATCCGGGAAAGTTTTCGGTTTTACCCTCTTCTGGGTGATGCCACCAGCCGAGGCCTAAAAATCTTAGTAAAAGAAAATGCACGGCAAAATAACGTTTAGGTCGAGACTGAAGCATTGTCACGGCTGCTTGATTATACAAGTTAAAAATGTTCCCGTAAAGCTATAAACGCTGTGTTTTATGGCACAAGCTTTTAATTTTATATTCCAACAACCTTAAAAAACAGGATGTTGAAATTGATTTTATGTAAATAAGTTTATTTAATGTATTAAAAGCATATGAAATAAGCATAGAAATGTTCACGTCTGTTTTTGATTGAAAATATTTGTAAGTGTGTAAAGATGAATGATAAAAGTGATCAACACGCATTTTTTAGGAGTCCGCGTATAAAATAGCGTGAATAAAAAAAACAATACATAACGAAAATAGAGTAGTTACAAAAACTTTTAGTAAATTTTGCGAAGTTACATAGAACTATTAATAAAGTACCATCGAATACTTAAGCAAACTTAAACATTAAAGCAAAGCAGACATAAGAAATCATCGCACCACTTTGTGAGATTGTTATTTCGTCTCTAACTTGAGCTTAGCTTGAAGACGTCGGAATGAAAAGACTTGAGAACATTACAAATATAGGACACATGTTATTATAGGCTGTATAAAGACATACGGAACCGTAGCTGTTACTACGTTGTCAAGAAACTTTTATGCTTGGTTGAGTTTTTGCGATCGAACGAATGTGCCCCAGCACAAACAAATAAATACATATACCACTCGCACAAACAATTATTAATCATACAGCTATCACAAACATGATATTTTTGCGGTTTGAGATTAGTTTCCGTTGTTGCAATTTGTACATTATAAGTTTTCTTGTTATTAGAAATACAAAATGAATATGAAAATTTCTTTGTATTAGGGATGTCCACGGATCTGTCAGACTACCTTTTTTTTTTTTTTTTTATTTTAACGTGTGGAAATCCCCTCGGACCGTCACCCCACCGGGGTTTGCGGCGGGTTGGTGTGTCGGACTCGGACCGACTGTCAGACTACCTATTTTAGGCCGTCTGCTGAGCTAAAGTGTTGGATTCGATTCTCCCAGGATAAATAATAAATTGTGTGATGAGTACGATCAGTTAGTCTAGGTTATATCATGTACCTAAGTACTAAAGTAAAGGCTCCGTCATATGTATTCCGTCTAGTTTGAGACCTGAAGGCCCATTCTCGTAATCAAAGTGCGGTCTCAATTCAGTTCCGATCAACTTTCGATCTCACAACTGTCATAAAAGGTATTTTTGTAGTAAAATATTACTAAGACTAGCAGATTACCGATTTAATTTTCGGTTACAATACGATATAATAACATTACAGTTAACGTTGGATGTTAATTATTTTACTCCATAAATACCTTTAGTGACAGTTGTGAGATCGAAAGTTGATCGGAACTGAATTAGACCAAACTTTTATTACCAGAATTGGGCTTCAGATGGCAGTCTGTGAGGTAACTCGAGTTAGGACTATTGATTTACACTTCGATCAAATATACCATAGATACATGTGAAAAATCTAAATATGTCGCAAATTTCTTTTTTTACTTTCTAATAGGGCTACAAAATTTGTGTGCCTAAAGCCTCGGCATGACTTAGGACGGCCTTAGCTATCATAAATCATAGAGATGAGGAAAAAGAGCCCCAATCTCGCAAAACAGGCAACGAGAGAGATGGATAATAGTCCCCTCTAGGTCTTTCTAGCCGAGCTCTGTAGTTGGTTGCGGAATATGAGGGGTTAATAAGTAGCCAATTGGAGCTTAGCTAAACAGAGACAGAGGGAAATATCGGGCATTCATCTCTCTCGTTGCCTGTATCGCTTCCACTTACAGACAGATGTACTCCGTTTTCTCTCTATGGTTATATCTCTATGTCATAGAGTTAATCGTAAATATATTAACCAAGTAGGATGAATATTATAAAATATGTAATCATCGTCTCCTTAGAAAGGAGGTTTTGGCCTTACTAAGTTAATTAGTGCTAATTAAACGCGGTATTTTTTATATTAAAAATGGAAAAATTAATTAAAAGTATAATAAAAGCTCATTTTTAAAGGCCCGATCATAAAGATGCCCAAAGACCCAATGCCCGAAAATCGTTCGGAAATTTTCAGTTTTCTTAATTTAAATTTACGTAAATTGGTTGGACAAAATGAACCGGTGCATGTAATTACCTATTTAGGGTCTCTTATAAATTTCTCCTAAAAATAATAAGCCATGTTTTTTCATTGTAAAAATTAGATTCGTCTGTATATATTATATTAGTTAAAGCATTTTACCGCCAAGAATGAAGTATTCGTTTAAATTCTGTTTATTTTTCGTAAGATAGAAAGGAAGGTAATATTGTTGCGTAAATATGGTAATGTACATTGCTTTGGCTCACGAGATGAGGGCGGTATAAGAGTCTCGGAGGGACTTAGCCATTAAAATTTCATGTTGCTACAAATTTTCAGCTTTAAAGCCTCTTTAAACAATATTTGTCTTTTTTTTATTACACCATTCTGAAAAACCAATAATTTATAAAGCAATAAGGAAACCAGCGAAAAGTCGGCTTAGTGCTAATAACAAGAAATATAGTTTTGTATGTGGTCATACTTTTTAATGTTGACCTCATGGGTCGGAGCCTGAGGAGATAGCCAGGAGTGGGGAGCCATAATTCACTCCTGGCTGTCGCCTATAGTAGGTCCCTGTTCAGTTTAGCAACAGCCCACTGCAGAAAGCGGGAGGAACGCCGCGCCTCGTGACCCCTTCTGGGGTCCTGGGTCCGGGAGAGCTCAAACCGGATATATAAGTGCTCCGAGAGCGTCTCAACCTCTTCCAGGACACGTCAGTTCCTGACCTAAACCCTAGACCAACCCGTCTGGCCAGCCTGATGTAGTAGGCCAAAATCTTCTTTCTAAGGAGAGGCCTATGTCCAGCAGTCGACTATTAAAGGCTGTTGATGATGATGATGATTAAACTTTCATTAATATTATAAATGCTAAAGATTATGAAGATGGAGGTATAAATTTTATTTTAAGAGAGCCATGTTTGATGTGATCTACCAGGTTCGACCAGAATGATATCATGGCGTTGAGCAGTTGTTTCGTTGCTTATCATCGAGTAACTGAGGTTACCGGAGCCCAAACCTTCTCCCTCCCCAAAAAAAATGGATGTTGGTAATTCAATCACTCCAGGACAGGTACCTGTTTAGGATGTGGATGAAAACCTAGATGGTTAGTATTATTTTTTATAGCACTTTGTACTTATCGTATCAATCGGCATCAGGCTGTATATCTCACTTCTCATTCTCCCCATTGGCACCATAAATTAATGGCGACCACGATTGGTTAACTTTACTATATAATTAAGGTAATATAATTGATAGTTTTCACTGTAAACTGATGACAGGTTACTATGAAAAGGCGTAAATTAAACTGAATAACAAATGTTTGGCGATTATAACCTCAATTATTACGTATTCATTATTAATGAATATGAGTTTAATTGAAAACCTTTATTATTCAATCTGTACCTGCGCAGTATTGAACGAGGATAGCGTAGCTGATAATTACTATAAACTGCATAAAGTACAACTGTCATTTGTTTAGACACAAAAAATAAATTTAAGGAACATTATATTAAGTTTCTGGCTTTAGATTTCGTTTGTGTATATCATCATAAACAGCCTTTTGTAGTCCACTGCTGGACATGGGCCTCTCCTTAGAAATGAGGCTTTGGCCTACCATACCACACTGGCGGGTTAGTATAAGGTTTGTTTCAAGTATTCCATCTCTCTGGTGTTGTCCTGCAAAGTTTGCTCCCTTATTCGGCTCTCACGACACCCGGTGCTATGGTAACCAGACTGCTGCTAAAAGTACTTATCTACATCTAAATACATACATATTGTAGATAAATTACACCCAGACACAGAACATGATCGTGCTCATCACACTATTATCTGTCCTGGGTAAGACCAATTGGACCAACAGGTCTACCAATCAGGAAATAGTTAAATGTAAAATACATAATATTATTATAGTATTCTACTCTCAGTTATCACTATTCAAATAAAAAATTATGTATATTTACGATCTAAACATATAAATGATAAATCGTATAATAGTTCAATAGGTATATGGTTTCCCCTGAATCCTTAGTTATTCATATGAGTGGCTGAATGTAAGTAATTGGGTGTCTGCGTTCAATAAGTATATGAACGCTGAATGTTGAAATGCTTCACTATTTTGATTATATTTGTGTAATATTGCTTGTGAGATTGAAAAGTAATCACGAATGTGGGTTATTCTACTTGCCCTTTTTTACTCGAATGCGCCAGAAGAGAATATCTCTGGTGCCTTACACGTCTAGAGTATGTTGATCGATCACATTTTCGTGTAACTTTAAGATCCCAAATAGAATACGAGCCGCGACACTTACAAATTGATGACACTAAATACTATGTTCTCTTGTTTTATTTCATGGGTCATTTAAGTTATCTATTTACAGATAATAAACAGGTCCAGAATTTCGTTAAAATAGCAATTTTTATTATGATCCTTAAATTGAAGCGTAAAAAGTTTTTGGATTTCGCTGTTAGGATACTGCTGGTCGATTGTATTCAGATCATGTAATTTACAAAAACAAGAGTATAATCGACTATTTATAACTTTTCTTTCCATATTTTGTAAGTACTGTTATTTGTTTAAATATTCCGTACATATCTTAGGAAGTAGACTTTACAATTTATTTTTAAAATATTTTCCTTTTTTTTATGTATCTTTGTTATTTATATGTGTATGTGTGTAAGCTTTATTCCGCCATGATTTGTAAATGCTTCAATGGATGAGGATGTATCTGCGAAAAAATAGATAATGAGCTACATTTTATTAAATTTTATTTGGCGCCTGTATGACGCGTAATCTTCTTTTAGGCAGAGCAGTTAGGTTTAATAGTTACGTTGTATGTGTATATTGTTATATTGACAGTTATCGCGGAAATAAGTAGTCTATGTTACTCGTTGAAATGTAGCTTTCCATTAGGGAAAGAATTTTTAAAATTTGTTAGGCAGTTTAGGCGTGAAAGCGTAACA